CCGCGGGAAGCCTGCTTCTCCCTCTCCCACTCCCCCTGCTTGTGTTCCCTCTCTCACTGTGTCTCTCTCTGTCAAATAAATAAAATCTTTAAAAAAAACACACACAAAACTTGAATAAGCTACTTGTACTCCTGGGGTTTGCAGATCTGCACTAGTTAAGGCTGGCAGCCAGAACACACAAATCCTGACATCTTCATGGCTTAACCCAATAGAAGTTTAATTCTTGTTCAGCTAGCTGAGAGGGAGACTCTGCTCATACCATTATTCAAAGGCAGGCTGACAGAACAGAAGCCCTGCCTTCCTCAAGTTGGTCCCAGTTGCCTTGGACATCAACATCCAGGAGGTACATGGGGAAGAGAGCGAGAGGATCTGGCCGGGTAGTGATACGGAGCACTTCTCACCACATCCACTAGCCAGGGCTCACATTGCAAGGGAGGCTGGAAAACGCAGTCTGGCTATGTGACAAGGATATAAAGGAAACATTTGGTGAACAGTTAGCTGGTTTCATGGGAAGGCCAGACTGACATCCTTGGGCTTCCTGAGAGCCTGTCCTTCTTGGCCTGGGCTCTGCTAGGCGCTTCAGACAGCCCACCTCATCTGCTAGGCAGGGTATCCAAGGCCCTCACATCCCAGCCCAAAAGACCTTCTGAGTCTCCTCCGCCCCTCCTGAGCCCAAACCACACTCTCCATTCCCTAAAGGAAGCAGGCTTTTCCACACCCTTGCCTTTGCCTTCGATGAAACTTTTGCCTGGACTCCTATGTTGTTTGTCATCCTGGTAAACTAGTCTTTCCTGAAGCTGCCTTCATTAACCATCAGAGCTACTCCTGGTTCATGGTTTTCTGAGGTGCTATAACAGGAATCAGCTCTGGGCAGTCCAAGCAAAGGTGGAATGAGTACAAGTATGCAGGGTGGCTCACAGGTGGGGACGGACAGCCAGGGAACCAGGTCCAGAAGGGGCATGGCCTCAATACATGGGCAGATACTCTGTGCCCAGAACCATCTGGCTCAACTCTAGCTGTGTTTCCTGCTCTGCAATCAGTCTGCTAACACTCAGACTCCCCGAGAGAAAATCCAGTTTATCTGGAATCCAAACTGAGGTTACCAACCTTCCCAACTGGCTTCTGTCCCACTGCTCCCCATCTCGGCCGGTGGTATCACCCTCCGGCCGCCAACCCACTCCTTTCTCCCTCACCTCCCACGTAGCCAAGCCGGGCAAACCTACCTCTGAATGGCTTTGACTTTGTGTCCTTCCCTCCAGCACGACCACCACCAGGCGGTCCGCATCTCCAACATCACTCAGCCGAACAGCCTGCTCGCCTCCCCTCCAGCAGCCGCAGAGACCCCGTCACCTCGCTCCCCTGCTTCCCGCCCTCCCAAGGTGCCCGGAGCCCTCTGGAGACTGAGCGCCTGCACCGGCCCGCGGAGGCACGCGCCGTCTCTCCGGTGTCCTCTGGACCACCGCGGTGCGTGCAGCCCCTCTCGGGGATTTGCGCTTCTACTGCCTGCAGGCCGGCGCGCCCGGGGACTCCTCGCAGCTGCGGGTACTCCGGTCCCTGCCCCACCTCCCGGAGCTTCAGCTTCCTGCCCTGTGACACAGATGTAACAGTGTCCGCCAGCTCGTCGTCGTCGAGACGGAGAACATCTGGGCACTGAGCCAACTGAACGAATGCTTACTAGCCCCTGCTGGCCGAGTGCTGTCCGGGACACTGAGGACACAGTGGTCAGGAGGACAGGGCCCTGCGTGCATGGCCTTGCACTCACGAACCACAGAGAGGAACACAACGATCAGGTCCACGAGTGGACCTCCCTTCAATTCGGCTCTCCCGCCACCTCAGCCGGGGCTCAGTCAGGAGAGACCAGCCGGGGCGACCCCACCCCTTGCGCTCTGGAGACCAGCCAATGAGACCTCGAGGCCGAGACTCTGGACCAGCCAGAGGGCGGCACACTCACGTGTTTGCGGCCCAGCCCCTTCCGCTCCGGGAGACTGGCCAATGAGGGCCAGAAGCCATCTCCGGGGGCCGGGTCTGGTAACGGAAAGGGGTGGGGTGCTGCGCCCAGCTCCCGCCGCGTGCCCCCCGCCACACAGCTGGGCCACGGATCCCCACGCGAGCGCAGGCCGTGCCGGAGGTGAGCGAGGCCGGCCCAGACACGGGTTCCGGGCCCTCCCTGCGCGCCCTGACCCCCGGGGCCACGACGTCCTGGGGCTGTGCCCGCCGCCTCACCCGGTATCCCCACCTCACCCGTCCCCTCGCCGCGGGCCGCTCGCC